CTCTATCTGTAAATATTTACAATGTACATAAATGTAAAATAACTTATAAATAAAGAGCGCCACACGCGCCCGAAGATAGTTACATCATCGGTAAAAAAAAAAAAAAAAAATATATATATAGATGAAAGCGAAGGTACTAAAGATTATTTTCAGAAATTTTTATTAAAATTTGAGCAACAACAAATTTCTGTACGATTACTTTCGAAACTATCAAATGAAGACTTTAATAAATGTGGTGTAGAAACTATTGGTGCACGTCAAACTCTTCGAGAATATGCTGCGAAATATAATATAATTTTTACATCACATGACAAATTGTAAGTTAAAAAGTATTTACTTACAACCTGCTGTATTAAAAAAATTATTAGCAATTGAGGGGTAATTTGAGAGCATGCAACTAATAATGGGTATGTTGGATCTAAACAACTTTCTACAAAATACTGATATCGCTTTAAATAACTTTTTATACATGAAAAAGCTAGTTCTATCAGATTAAGGTCTGGTGAATAGGGAGGTAGAAACTCTATACATATACCAAATGCATTCAAATACTCAAGCAACCCATTATTGTGATGAATACTTGCATTGTCAAGTATTAAAACACTTCGTTCATATAGAAAGAGATTCATTTGAGGCAACTAATAATAATTAAAAAAATAGTCTAAAAAAAGTATATACAGTATATATATTGCATACAATAAAGTAATAATATTTCATACCACTTGAGAAATTACAAATTCTTTAAATTGATCTTTTGTACAACTACCTTCAATGATATCAATTGCAATAATACCATCTAAAGTAAATGCAGGTAGAAGTGTATAATGTTTACCACAAATAAACACTACTTTTTTAATAGCTCGTGTATTAAGTTCAGAGTAGCCATATCCTCAAGAAATAGTTCGTTCGTCTTTTGACAATTCATCCAGAAAAATCAATTGATTACTTTTATATTGAAAGCCAACACGGGCCATAAAGGCACTGCGAAGCAATTCATTACGTTCTTTGTCTGCTTTATGTAACTAAAAATAAATATTAAATAAAAAATATATTTTTTTATTTATATATAGATTAAATTAGTATAAAAATAAATACTTTTTTTCGTGTTATTCCGCAGTAAACTAATGAGCGCCACATAGTAGAGATTGAAACATTTTTTTCACACTGTATTTCCATTTTTTTAACTATTTCATCAAGATACATATTTGGATTTTCTTGAATAATATTTCGTAAAGTCTATTATTTAATATATGAAATTAAAAAAAAACTACTAATTCTATATAAATACAATATTTTACATCTACGTTCATGTCATTTCTGTTAAAGATTTTATGTTGTCCAGATACTTGTCGCCATGGATTAGTTACAGTCCCCATTTTTTATATAGGCGTAAAACTTTTCTTACCAAACTTTTACTAATATAGAGAAGGTTCGTAATTTGTATTATTGTATAATTATCATAATGTAAATAAATTATATGCCATTTCAGGTCATCACTATATGCAGGAGGCATGCTAATAAAGATTTTTTTTTTTATGAAATTTCAGTATAACGCTTATATGATATACTAGAAATCTTTAAAATTCTTTAAGAATCATGTGATTTCACATGACATCATGATCTGCAGGTGTTACACCTTTTTGCAAACCGCCATAATAAAATTTTGAATAATTTTAATTTATAAAATTGTCCCAAAATATCCCAACTCATGTCCTAACTGTCCTATATACAACACTGCATAGGGGTGTTTTTGACTTTTATAGTTAGAAAAGATCGGTTGAAGAGGGAGATGCCTTCAGCTGCATAGTATTGCACTTTTTCCTTATCTTTAAGAACAAGTTCAAGATAAATTCTCTTTCCTCTTGAAGTGTGAGTCTTTGCTGCAATGAGATCCCCCTTCAAACTCATAGCTAAGGCTGCGATAATATATATCAACAACTAGTGTATTTTCGTTTTTAGAATGAATTCTATACCTAGAAGTAGAGTTAGTATAAACTGCCTTTCTTCCTTTTAGTTTTGCAAATAGGTCAAACCACTGTTT